AAACTGGCTGGTGATTTCCATTGATTGGAGGGTTGATAGAGAACAATGTTGCATCATCCCAGCAACAACATTTAGACTTCTCAACTTCTTTTTTACCTGCTCTACCAGACTGTGACTGGAATGGGCCTTTCCCTCTGGGGGAGCAGTAAATGCCGCCAGGAGTTAACATGCATGGGACAGCAGCTGCAGTCTACTCGTGCTCTGCCCTGGTTTGGCCACATTCCTGCCCACCTTTTCTTGTCGATGAGCCCACAGTCTGGCACATGGAGTCAAAAGTCCACAAGAAAAGTCTGTGTTGTGCTAGGAAATATTTAAGTTGTGAGGTTAGGGTGGGAGGATAATATGGTGAGAGGACATCTGTGAGTCTCAGGAATAACACTAAAGAGATCTGTAAGGTTTCTGAAGATAAATACGATTTAATTCCTAACAGGAGTTTCATAAAGTACCTTGATATTGGATACTGGGACCGTGTTGTCAAAAGAGGCACAGTTGTCTTCTGTGTGTGCATTCATGTGAGCACTTGAATGGTCTTCCAAAGTGAGGGGGCTCTTGCTTGAAATGTTGGGATTCTGAGGTATATATTTTATGGATAAGTAAAAAAAAAGCACATACCAGTTATAAGGTAGAATATGGTGTGTGCAAGGAAGATCATATATGCCTGAGTTTGAAAATTTGGCTGTGAGGAAAAATAGATTCATGACATGAATAGGAAAACTGTACTGCTTTCACATCCAGTTAAGATATCTGGGACTTCTATTTTAAAGTTGATAAACAGTACAGTTTAAAATTATGCAGACAAGTCATCCTAACCAGTTTCATCCAATTTGATTATCTGCAGCAGACATTTTCTTGGCAAAATCGTATCAAGTGACTTTGCCATTAGGCAGTTTCTACAAACTACTTGACACTGTCCGTTTTTGCAAAAATACAGGCAGCTCTCCCTGTAATGCCAGCAAAGGGGCACTGTCTCAGCAAGTGGGTTTCATTTATAAGGAATCCTTTCCATGTTTGTCTGTGATTCCGGTACTTTTTTCCCTAACATTTTTACATAACGCTTAATTGTTTGTACGTTTATTTACTTAGAAGACAGACAATCCAGAAATGGGGAAAAGCAGGAAACTTGGTGCATGAAGGAGCATTTGCCAGTTTTCCTATTGAAATGTGAAAATTCAAAAGTGGCTGACCGTATTGCTGTGTTCTCAGAGAAACAGGGACAAACTTTGGAGTGGCTAGACCTATGGAGACGGTCAGCAAGGAAGGACTGCCAAGAACTACCAAGGAGTTTTGAAGACTGATGACCAATGTGCAATATCATTTTATACAAATACTATACAGGCTAATGCTGTGGCATGCAGAATTATCAAAGCTCTTTCTGATACAGGAAGTGGTACACACTGAACCAAACATTGGAGTTTGGCATATTGCCATAGTTAATGTAGAGTTATTCCCAGCAAGACTAATTTGTGTGAACTCCTCCGCAGGAATTAACTAGCTCGCAACTAGCTGTATCTCTCCAAGGTATTGTGCACATCTATCTGGTATTGGAAAGTTCATAGCAGCTGGCATTTGATGAGCAGTTTCCTCAGCAATACCAAAAAGAAAAAAAAATTAAACTGCACAATGCAGTTACTATAAGGAATAGGAGAATATGTTATTTCTTCACTGTGTCATGCTCTTTTACTGTCGTTTAGCCTGGCGGTCACTGCTACATCATTCACTTCATCAAGAGTAATACTGGTTGCTAACTTTATTGGTTACTTTTAATTTTACTTCTTGGAAGAATTTCTGTAGCTGCAAGACATACTGTTTGTTGTTGTTGTTTTCCTATACGTATGAGTGGTAGCCTGTTTTTCCAGTGCTCAGGCTAAATGCATCTTCCTGAAGAGGGCTAAAGGTACAAGAGCTGTTGCAAGATAAGTCATTACTTTGCTCGTTCTCTAACAGTTCTGAATACACAGTAGAAATTTCACTTTTTGTATATATATATGTATATATAAAATTATTTTTCTGCTGCTTGTTTATGTATTCTTGCCCAGTTTTTCTGATATTCCTAACTTTAAATCTCTCTTAGCATTACAGCTCCCCAGATTTTCACCTTTTACCACCTGTCACATTTTTCTTCAGCCCAGACATTTTTCTGTTTTCTAAACTGAATCTCGTTGCAAAATTCTGCCTGTGTTTCTAATCTTGCCATGACCCCTTGTATTATTTCTCCATTTTCAGCAGTGTGCTCAGCTCCTCCTAGTTTAATAGATCTGCAGATTTCATTAATGTACCATTTACTCCCTCTTCTAGCTCATTATTGAAGCTATTAAATGAGATCAGAAGTAATACTAATCTTTGTGTACCACACTAAATGCCTCCCTTCAAAGTTATTGTTTATCATTACCCTTCATTGTTTGTCATCACCCTTCATTTCAGACAACATGATAGTTCATTTCCAATTTGATTTAAGTTTGGGAACAGAATTCTGACACAATGGAGATAGGAGAAGAGAGGCTAATCAACAGGCTTGTAGAGGCTTCTAATTTAAACTCAATTTAGAGAATCCAAGTTAGGAGTCCTCTATTGCAGAAACAGTGTAAGGTGGAAACTGTCTCCGTAAGGTAGTTAACAACACCTATATTTAGTTCTAAAATATCATAAGGAAGTAAAGTGCTAAAATTCAGACACACGACAGTATAGCTTCTACTTTCCATTCATTAATTTTGAATTACTATTAACAAAAATCAAATTTGTCTGGCAGACTTCAAAGTGTTTTAGTAAATTTGTTTTCTCAATAGCTGTTCCATTATGTTGCCTGGGATAGAAGCTAAATTTATGAGTAGCAATTTCAAAAACAGCTCACTGAATATGTGAATTTCTTCTGTCTTTGGCTGTTTCAGAGACATATGATCTTGTTTTCAAAGCAGCTGTATGCTTCCTCAGTTTCTGCACTGTACAATTTCAGGAAAGAGAGTTTCATTTTCACAAAATTAAATTCCTAAATTCCATAGTAAACACTATTAAAATTATTTATAATATGAAGCTGGGAAACATAGATTCAGTCAGGAAATAATAATCTCTAATCATAATTAATCCCACATGACCTTATGGACCAATACCAAAGTCTGTTCATCCTTCATCTTAATATAACACCTTTTTAGAAAGATATGTTGCCAGCTTTTAGTATCAGGGCCAATTACTCTTGGTCTGTACTGACTTGCCAAAAATATTTTTATCCAAGTACACTTGGATATCCAAGAGCTGCTCAATTTTTCCAGGGAAGACTTGGCTTGAGCTCTTCTAGTTACGGTCTATGTCAATGCAAATGTAAAGCCAAAAAACCCTAAATCTAGTCTGGAAAAACTCTGCCCCTGGGTGGAACTGACGGCTCTTCATAATTAGATTCAGCTTTGGACCTATATAAGTTGAACAAAACAACGGAATATTGAATTTGAAGTTGGGCTGAGGTTATTAGATGTGGGGAAAATTACCAAAATAAGAATGAAGCTGAATCAGTCAGACATTAAATACCAGTGTTCAGTGGTTTGTATCTCAAAGTCATGACCTGCAGTGAGCCTAATGGAAACATAATTGCAAGTCCCCTTTCTGCAGCAAAAAGTGGGTTCACGAGTCCAGAAACATGACAAAAAATGAGGTCAAAAATATAGAAATTGGGCTGCCAGAAAAACTGCTTTGAGACTAGCTGCTATAAACTCAACTTCTCTGACTGCTGAAGCTCTGCGTCTTTCAGTATCTGCCTACTTATCTGACATAGTCTGCTATCTCATTACTGTGAATCTGCCTTTACCTCTGAGGCGAATTTTCTTCACTCTTCCCCTGCCTGCTTATGAAATATTTTCCTAAAACCCATCTCTGTCTCTGTTGATTCCTGCCAGGAAATCAGCAGTGACACTTTTTAGCCTTGTTTTTATGGTTAAGCATTTTTATAAGACATTTTATTGTTTTTTTTTATTGCTACTATCTCCTCTGCCCCTCTCCACCTATTATTGTGTTACGTATTTATTATATCTCCTGTGAAATTGAAGTGTATGATTTTCTGGGAAAAGATTTAATGTCACATTTTCAAAAGTACCTACCAATAACATTCAATGATGGAAAAATAGGCATAATTGCTCTAGTTCATTAATGCCTATTAGTCATTATCTAAGGTGGCCTGGAGAGTTTTACTGTTAACTGTCCAATACTTACGCTCTTGCAACTGGATTTTTGCTTTTAGGGTTTTTGGTGCTGTAGTAGGATATGCCTGAAGAGGCTGCTTCAACCAGAGAACATGAGTTACAGTAGTTCATTGGAGCAGTTTTGGGCCATTTGTATAAAACATATTTTGTTTTTATGTTTTATTTGTCTAAACTTGTTTTGAGAACAAGTTAGTATGTTGTGCTTCATTCCCTGCTTTGTACCTTTGTATTTGTGGAGCTTTTACCTTTCCTTTGAAAGACTCTTGAGGAGGTACCTGGCTGCTGTGAGACCCTGCTTCATTTTGCATCACCTCTGCACTGCCTCCTTCTCTAATGGGCATTTCAGAATTAGAAATGTGGTTTTGCTTTATTAAAAAATGGGAGAAAATGCCTTTAAGTCCAAAAAAAAAAAAAAAAAAAAAGAGGAAGGCTTTGCCATAGTGCCATCTAGTGAGCCAGATGTGAAGGTAATTTAAATGTTTTGGATTTTGGGTAGGGACAGTAAACTATTTGCAGCTTGTCCCACTTGTTATGATCTTATCTAGACTTTCCCTGCTGCTGCTGCTGCTTCCCTCTTGGCGTGCGGCTGCAAGAGCAGTAGCTGCACTCACAGTGGAGAGAGGAAGAGATCTGAGGGCTGCTTTGCAGATGTTGACTCTGGCACACATGCCATGCAGTGGTTGTCATTGCTGCTCTAGAAAGAATGGACTGCCATGGGATGTTAAGGATACTCCCATGCAGATCTTCCTCTACTACTTAGTGGTTTCAGTGGCTAAATATGTCCTGGTTAAGTATCCCCTTTCCCCCCTACCAACAATGGCCAGGCCAATTGTTTTGGTATTTGGAGAGAAAAATACTCATTTGATGCCAGAAAAGAAGAGAGAGTGCAGATTTTTGGAACTTACCAAAAGGCTGGAAATGATTCTTTGCCAGGTGGCTAAAGAATTTGTACTGGGCAGAAGCTCCACCAAGTCCTTTTTTCTGGGTGGTGGGAGATACGGGGAAGTCAAGGGAAGGTGACATTCTGTCTTTTGACACTGCTTGGGATTTTGGTTTTTGTTTTTCAATATAGAATCTGCTTATAACAAGTGGAAGAGTGAGCCAGCCAAAAAATGTTGTCTTTAGCAAGCCCAGATCTCCACAGTTTTGGAGAATGTATTCTCCTGTCCTTTGCAGATGATGTCCAGGGGATATTGCTTTTCCAGTTGGATTTGCTTGAGGTGCAGCTACAACGGTGTATCAAATTGAAAGTATCAACTTTTATCTGCCAAAGTGTTAAGGGAGTTTTAAGTGAACATAAGCATAAAATCTGCTTCCAAGGAGGAGAGCATTTGATCTTTGACTCATTACACAGATGCTAAATCTGATGCAAATCCATGTAGCTCTTCCTTTAAATCCTTCTGGCTCGAGCAGTAAGAAGAGAGAAAAAGGTTTCAGATCTCAGAAATATAACTATGTAATGGGAGAAGGAACGAGTCACCAACTACTGAGAGAGAGAGAGAGAAAACAGCAGAAATATAACTAATTTCTCCAATAGTTCTTGAGTATTTCCTCTCTCTAGAGCTAATCTAACTAGATTAGTATTGAATATTGCCAAACAGAATGAATGGGAGAACTACCTCATCAGGTGCTGGTAGTGACAGGGAAGTTCTCAGTAAGGAATTAATTTCCAATGAATATGAAAAACAGTCAACTGGGAACTTAACAGCTATACTAGTGGAGACCCCTTCACAAGGATGTATGTATCATATTCCAGTGACTGAAAACACTGATAAAATGGTTTGTCCACCACTGTATGAAATTATGTAGCATAGGAGGGAATGCAAAAATGTTAGGGACCCCAAGAGCCATATTCCCAACCTATATGTCTTCATAAATGTGTGTTTAGGGACCTTTAAAATACATACAGATCAGATTTTCTCAAATTTACCCTGCGGCATAGAGGAACTTATCTCCCATTGATTTCAGTACCTAAATGGGAGTTGTAGATCTCAAATTGTCTTTGAGGAGGTAGCTTTTAGTTCCTGGTTATTACTGAGAATAAGAATACTTGTCCATAGCTGGAACCTTTTAATGAGTTCTGTTAACTTTGGCTAAAAGACTGAACAACTCTGTGTTCCCTACAAATCAATATTCCAGGCCAGATCCTAACTCGTGTCCTGCAGTGCACATTGCTCCACTAACTGATTTCTAAAATGTGAATTGTGTGTAGAATGATATTATAATTTCCTGCCTTTTGAGTGGCTGGATGTGCAGCTTTAATGTTCTCTTGATGTAATTTTAATGAGCTTTCCTATGGATTCTGAGTGGGAGAAACTTTAAAAAAAATCTATTATGTGGTCTAGACACTACTCAAATGACCTTATTCCCACAGAAGTAAGAAATTCAGCAGGGAATTCCTCCTCCTGAAGGCTCAGGAAACTGCAGCTTCGGACTTAAAGGCAGTATGATTGAAGCAATAGTTCTCATGGAGTCCAAACTCAGTTGCTGCACATATAATGAACTACAGAGCAGATGAGGCAAGGGCTGACAGGCTACTTTATTTTTTTTACTGTGAGCTATGTATGTATGCATAGCACAACCTTCTTCACTCTGTATATTTCGGAGTGCTAAAAAATCATATCAATTGTACTCTGCATTCTCAAAGTGCAGATTTCAAAGGTTCATGACTCAGTCAAATCAAAATCAATTTGCACCAGAACACTCAGAGGCACTTCTTCTTACTGAGGGCCATTTCTATGCTAAATTTCAACTCTCTGCTTGATTTTGATGGGGGAGGGAAGGAGAGGAAAAAGTTGCAAAAATTCTCATAATGGTAAAAATGTTTTTTTTCACTTCTTTCTCATGCCAAATAGTTGAACTGCATTAATTCAAACAAAATTTCACCTTCTGGGCAGAGACCAGGCCAAGAAAATGTCACTCCAAAAGGTGAAAGCGCAACTGAATTAGAAAAAATGTAGCTTGGAAAGGTACATGAAAACTTAAATACTCTGATCAGTAATATTTTTATACCAGCTTCACTTCAAAGGAAAAAATATTCTGCCTTATTCCACTGTAATAACTGTAGAGAATGAGGAACAGCCATCAGCATGTTACATGATAATTGATTTTAATCATTTGATGACATTATTATAATATATAATAATTTGGTAGCTAGGTCTCACCTCTGTGTTTGAAATGTAAAATCAGTTCGTTGTCACTGTTTTTCCTGGCCCCGAAGCTGCCTAAAACTCAGTGTATGTCTGCACTATGAATGCTAGGTGTGCAGCAGAGCCATTTCTGAACACGCTGAAAGGGGCAAGCCCAGGTCCTTGGGGCTTGACGAAGCTGTGCAGAGCTCTGCGTGGGCTGGTTGTGGCTCAGCAGAATATATTAATGTATGTGGAGCTTTCTGTGGCCTTGCTACCTCTGTTTAGTTGGCTCAGTTATTCATTCCTGTACAGAGAATAACCTGAAGAACATCTGAAAATGGCTTTGTTGGCCACAGCCTCACTCAGGGCTTTCTCCTCGTAATGACCACAGTCCTACCCCGAAAATCCGGTGCATCCTTCTCTCCCTCCTACCTCCTGTGCTGGAGGAAGGCGGACAAAAAATAATAGTTCAGTGTCTGTGCCAACTGACTATCCTTAAATTAAGGTGTCCATTAGGGCAGCCTTTAGCTTCTTTTCCCCACAACCCTGGGGAAAAGTAATTGTATCATAGTCCAGATTGGGGTAACTGTTCCACATGTGTTGCAGGAGATGTGTTGTTAAAGACTTCTACCATAAGATACCACAAAATAATTATCATTATTTATTCCTTCGTGCACTCCCTGGAAAACAACTGGTTTTGCTTTTCTCTTTCTTTCTTTCTTTCTTTCTTTCTTTCTTTCTTTCTTTCTTTCTTTCTTTCTTTCTTTCTTTCTTTCTTTCTTTCTTTCTTTCTTTCTTTCTTT